CCAAAGTGCTGGGGTTACAGGCGTGAGCCACCACATCCACCTGGCCTCTTTCTTTATTGAGACAGTCTCCCTCTGTCGCTCAGGCTGGAGTGCAGCGGTGTGATCACAGCTCATTGCAGCTTCGACCTCCTGAGCTCAAGCGATCCTTCCACCTCAGCCTTCCAAGTAGCCAGGACCACAGGTGCACACCACCATACCTGGCTAATTTTTAAAAATGTTTTGTAGAGATGGGGTCTATGTTACCCACGCTGATATTGAACTCTTAAGCTCAGGAAATCCTCCTGGCTCAGTTTCCTACAGTGCTGGAATTACAGGTGTGACCCACCATACCTGGCAGACAGAGATTTTTTTTTTTTTTTTTTTTTGAGACTTAGTCTTGTTCTGTCACCCAGGCTGAAGTGCAGTACAGTAATCTCACTACACCCTCTGCCTCCCAGGTTCAAGCAATTCTCCTGCCTCAGCCTCTGGGATTACAGGCACCTGCCAACACACCCAGCTCATTTTTGTATTTTTAGTAGAGACGGGATTTTGCCATGCTGGCCAGGCTAGTCTCGAACTCCTGACCTCAAGTGATCCGCCCACCTTGGCCTCCAAAGTGCTGAGATTACAGGCATGAGCCACTGCGCCTGGCCTCAGACAGAGATTTCTTGATTTCAGTTTGGTCATTGCTGTATCCCTGGTGCCTAGAACAGGGCTTGGAATGTTGTAGGTGTTCAGTGTTTGTTGAATGAATGAACACATAAACTCCCGTGGAAGAGAGCTCTTCTCTGGGTGTGGGTAGGGTCTCGGCCTTTGGATGCAGGGGCTGAGCCTTTTTTGACCCAGGGAAACCCTGGTGATGGTGCCAGTGCTCTCCCCTCACACCCAGGGCTGTCGCTGACTCAGCTGCCCCCAGGCTTGGCCCCAAAGGTCCCCGGAGGGTGGAGCAGTAGCCTGAGCTGCTAACAGCAGCCTCTGAGGAGCCCTGACCCATCACCTTTGCACCCTGAGCCTGGGAGAACCTGGTACCCGCTGGGCACTGCATCCTTTCACTCAGCAGGCTGCCTGAGCACCGCCATGTGCTGGGCATGGAGCCCCTGAACAAGACTGCCTCGGCCTCTGGCCTCCTGGCACTTGCTGCCAGGCAGGGAGGGTGGGCCGGCATCGAACAGGAATCCATAGGGCTGGGCGATGATGAGCATGAGGGGATCCCCAGCAGAGAGGCTCTCTCCCCAGGCAGATGCCACCCACAGTGTGAGCAGGAGCTGTCCAGGTGAGGAGACGGACCAAGCCGCCCCATCCTGCACTCTAGCCCTGACTGCTGTACACTTAACTATGCGACCCTGGGCAAATCACAACGTCTCTGAGCCTGACCTTCCAGAGCTGTGAAATGGGAAAAAACCTCCTCATGGAACTATGGTGGAGGGTGTGTGGGAGGGTGAGTGGGAGGGTGTGCAGGAGGGTGTGTGGGAGGCCGTGCGGGAGGGTGTGTGGGAGGGTTGCTGGAGGGTGTGCGGGAGGGTGTGCAGGAGGCCTGCGGGGGATAGCTGGAGGGCATGTGGGAGGGCATGTGGGAGGGCGTGTGGGAGGGTGAGTGGGAGGGTGTGCGGGAGGGTGTGTGGGAGGGTTGCTGGAGGGTGTGCGGGAGGGTGTGCAGGAGGCCGGCGGGGGATAGCTGGAGGGCATGTGGGAGGGCGAGTGGGAGAGCACCTGTGCGAGTGGCTACTGGTAGCCCCTTCATCGCTTCCAGCTTGCTGGGATCAAGAAAACCTAAGCAGGGATTCCCTAATCTGCCGAGCTAGAAATGGTAGGCAGGAGGGCCTGCGGCCTTTCCCAAGTTCTCAGAGGGACCTAGGACCTGGGAAAGCCTGCAGAGCCCTGGTTTCTTGCAACAAGATCAAAAGGCGCCCCGCGGCAGCACAGGGAACGGCACAGGAGGGGTGCCCCCAGCCCCAGTGCAAGGGGCCAGGAGGGCCACCTGTTACAGATGTGGATGTGCCCTCACCAGGGCCCACCAAACGCCCTGCATAGGGCAGACAGGCAGCCTGCCTGCCCCCGGGAAGCACCCCCAGTCCGTGGTGTGTCAGGTGGAGGGGCTGCATGGCTGTGAGCATTGATCCCGTACCTTCTTCCAGAGTAGCAGGGCCGTGCCCACAACACTCAGGACACTCAGGAGGCCGGTGAAGCCAAAGAGCAGGAGCTTCCGGGGGCTCTGCGGGGGCTCTTGGTACCCTACGTCTAGGAGAAAGGGCAAGGGAGCAGAGGGGTCAGTGACCCAGGAGAAAGCAGGGCACACACACATGATGTTCTCCCTCACTCAGGACCCTGTTTTCAACGCTCCCCCGCCGACACACTCCACACCCCACTAGGCCCCCTGGGAGCCAGGCCTCAGGACTTCATTGTCACCCTCGCTCCTTTTCATGTTCACTGCCTTGATTCTCTGTAAGGACAGGAACCACCACATTTGCTCTTCTGGTGCCCCTGCCCCAGTGACCTGGTTCCCCTGCAGGCTGCTTATAGGGTCCTGAGCGAGATGTCTCTCTTCTCAGGGCCTCTTGTTTTCCCTGTGGGAGGTGGTGATAATATGGGTGGATGTGGCTAGGGCTGAAGGAGGCGGGTTTATACTGGGACTGACAGGGGGCTGCACCCAGGCTAGGTGAGGCCCAGACCTCCCCCACCACCAAGTCATCCCCCGGTCCCTCCTGCTGGCATTCATTTCTCCTTCCCCTCACCCCATCCATCCATCCATCTGGCTGGCAAAAACACATGGAGTGCCAACCACGTGCCAGGCACATGAGCATGATTTCGCCAACACTGCCTATCGTCAGCCACCAGCCCATATGGGCACCATCTCCTTCAACCTCATCCAAGTCCTTGGAAGGCAGAGGATCATCATGAAGACCAGGCCCAAGATCACACTGGGCAAGCAGCAGGACAGAGGTTCAAACCCAGGTCTATAGAATTCCGAAGCCCCCAGCTCCTTCTAGGGGATCGCAGAGGTAGGTCAGAGAATCAGGGCTTTGGTGACAGGCTCACTCAAAACTTTTGGGATCATCACTCCTTTGAGAATGTGATGAAAACTGGCTGGGTGTGGTGGCTCACGCCTGTAATTCCAACACTTTTGGAGGCCAAGGCGGGCGGATCACTTGAGGTCAGGAGTTCGAGACCAGCCTGGCCAACATGGTGAAACCCTGTCTCTACTAAAAACACAAAAATTAGCTGGGTGTGGTGGTGCACACCTGTAATCCCAGGTACTTGGGAGGCCGAGGCATGAGAATCGCTTGAACCCAGGAGGCAGAGATTGCAGTGAGCCAAGATTGCACCACTGCACTTCAGCCTGGGCAACTCCGTCTCAAAAAAAAAAAAAAAGACAGAATGTGATGAAAACTAAAAATCTGTCCCTGGAAAAGTGTATTATACATTAGCCAAGTGCTCACATACACGAGGCCCCCACAAATACATACATGCACATACTGAGTTCTGCAGAAGTTCCCCCACCATGATGCCCATGGCACACTGAGACCAAGGGTCCAAGTGAGCTCTTTCAGGTCACCTGCCAGCGGCGTTTAGGGGCAGATGTGCATGCCAGACCCTGCCCTTTCCACACCCAGGTGGAGCCCTGGCACAGCCACAGGCCAGAGCTCCCTGAAGTGGCTCTGCCTGCTTTGCTAATGCTGGCAGACAAGGCAAACTATTCTCTATTTCCTTTTTTTTTTTTTTTTTTTTGAGACAGAGTTTTGCTCTTGTCACCCAGGCTGGAGTGCAATGGTGCAATCTAGGCTCACTGCAACTTCCCATGCCAGGTTCAAGCGATTCTCATGCCTCAGCCTCCTGAGTAGCTGGGATTACAGGCGCCCGCCACCACACCCAGTTAATTTTTGTGTTTTTAGTAGAGACGGGGTTTCACCATGTTGGCCAGGCTGGTCTCGAACTCCTGACTTCAGGTGGTCCACCTGCCTCGGCCTCCCAAAGTGCTGGGATTACAGGTGTGAGCCACCACACCTGGCCCCATTCTCTATTTCCGATCTAGAGTCCCAAACTGCCAGTTGATACCTCCAGGTCCTTTGCCCCAGAAGAGCCACAGAGGAAGCCTCACCTCTGACCAGGATGAAGGTGCCACTGCCGCTCACCGTGGCGTGTGGCCAGCGGACAGAGCAGTAGTAGGTGCCAGTGGCCGACGCGCCCGGCAGCACAAGGATGACCTGGCAGTCCAGGGTGCGGGTCTGGTTCTCTGTGCCCAGTTCAGGGTGGCAAGAGGTCGGCTTCTCAGGGCTCCTCTGTCCCTGGAGATCTTCATGAAAGTAGCTGACTGTGAAAACCTTGAGTTGGGGGGTGTTTGGGTAGGTGATCCTGCAGCTGAAGGACACAGCTGAGTTGGCCAGGGAGGCCATGATGGGCAGGCCGGTGTGGGTTACTGACTGTCCTCCTGGAGGGGAAGCAAAGGGAGAGAGCGACAGGTCACTTGAGGCTGCCCCAGTCCCACCCACTTGCCTATTAAGTGGGTGGCTCACGCCTGTAATTCCAACACTTTGGGAGGCCAAGGCAGGCGGATTCCCTGAGGTCAGGAGTTCCAGACTAGCCTGGCCAACATGGTGAACCCCATCTCTACTAAAAATACAAAAATTAGCCGGGCTAATTTTTTTACGCCCATAATCCCAAAACTTTGGGAGGCTGGGGTGGGCTGATCACCTGAGGTCAGGAGTTCGAGATCAGCCTGGCCAACATGGCAAAACCCGTCTCTATTAAAAACACAAAGATGGCCGGGCGCGGTGGCTCAAGCCTGTAATCCCAGCACTCTGGGAGGCCGAGGCGGGCGGATCACGAGGTCAGGAGATCGAGACCATCCTGGCTAACACGGTGAAACCCCGTCTCTACTAAAAAAATACACCGGGCGAGGTGGCGGGTGCCTGTAGTTCCAGCTATTCGGGAGGCTGAGGCAGGAGAATGGCGTAAACCCGGGAGGCGGAGCTTGCAGTGAGCTGAGATCTGGCCACTGCACTCCAGCCCGGGCGACAGAGCGAGACTCCGTCTCAAAAAAAAATAAAAATAAAAATAAAATTAAAAAAAAAATAAATAAATAAAAACACAAAGATTAGCCGGGCGTGGTAGTATATGCCTGTAATCCCAGCTACTCGGAAGACTGAGGCAGGATAATTGCTTGAACCTGGGAGGCCGAGGTTACAGTGAGCAGAGATCGTGCCACTGCACTCCAGCCTGGGCAACAAGAGCAAGAGAGTCTGTCTAAAAAAAAAAAAAAAAAGACAAGTCTCGTGCCTCCTGTGCACTTACCTCTGCAGGTACAGCCCCTGCCTCTCCTGCACTTGCTGTGTGCCGGAGTTGTGCCAAGCATATTACACACACCACTCTACCTCTCCTAATACAGCCCAAGGCAAAGTGAGAGCCCCTGTTTCATAAAGAGGAAGAGTCTGAGGGTCAGGGAGTTGAAGCACTTAGCTCTGGATCCCTCAGCAGGTACAGAGTAGAGCTTACAATCCCATCCAGGGCTGGGGGACACCAGAGCCTGCACTCCCAACTCCTCTTCTTCCCAAATGTCAAGAGGCCACCTGGGATCAAAGCACAGGCCTGAGAAGAGAGAAAGCTGGTGATGGATGAGAAATAAAGAAGGAGGCAGGAAAACAAAATAAAGAAACCCAAGCATTTCCTGGTGGTAGACAGAGAGGGAGGCAGGTCTGCCCACAGTTCTCCCTGTGCCAAAGTAAGGAGGCAAGCAGGCGGTGGGAGACACAAACCTCTCCTGGACTCTGGGTTCAGAGAGGATTTGTCAGCTTTTTATATAGTATAACAGGCAACATCCTGAGAGCGGTTTTTCCAACAACACAGAGGTGCTCCACGTGGGGCCATTTCGGCTGTGATCATGATGTCAATGACTATGACAAAGCCAATTTTGCAGGAGCCACCCCTCCCCCCACTCATCAGAGGCACCTCAGAAAACAGTTTGAAAATGCCCAAAGCAGCAGCCCTGCCTGGGGGGCGTCTAACCCCTGCTGCAGGCGTCTGAGATGCTGTTTGGATCCTGGGCTGGGGGCAGCAGCCATCCCCTGCCCCAGACTTCAGCTGCGTAGGCCCCTGGGTTTTAGCGCTCCTGGGTTCTCCAGGCCCCTCCTTCTCCAGCAGCTGAGCAGCAGACTGTTCTAAATTGAGGTCGGCAGCCAGCAGCCAAGAACATGCAGGCCGGGTTGTTAATCGGGAGAAGATCGTGTGTTTGAGAGGCTCAGAGGAGCCGCAAGATTTATTTTGTTGGGGAAAGTGAGGCGTGGACTCCGCCTGTGGTGTGGAGCTGGAGTGAGGCCAGGCTGATCTCTTCCCAGGTCTCTTCAGTTCAGCTGCGAGCCACAGCTCTGGGAAGGGGGTCCCAAAGGGAGGCCAGCCTTCTGGAAGATGTGGGAACAGAGATGGAGTTGGCCCTGAGCTTCAGTTAATCCCTCAAAACTCCGACTGCGCTGATATTTTGAGCTTCCTGTTGAGCCACTAAAGAGACACCCCCAGGCTGGGCGGGGTGGCTCATGCCTCTAATCCCAGCACTTTGAGAGTCCGAGGTGGGTGGATTGCTTGAGGCCAGGAGTTCGAGACCAGCCTGGCTAACATGGTGAAACCCCGTCTCACCTCAAAATACAAAAAAACAAAAAAACAAAAAAACATCGAGAGCTGCGGTGGCTCAGGCCTGTTGTCCTGTTGCATAAGGAGACAAGGCCAGGCACTCGAGACCAGCCTGGACAACACAGAAAGCCCTCATTTGTATAACAACAACAACAACAGCAACAACAAAAATTTGGCCAGGCCTGGTGGCTCATGCCCGTAATCCCAGCACTTTGGGAAGCCAAGGTGGGCAGATCTCTTGAGGTCAGGAGTTTGAGACCAGCTTGGCCAATGTGGCGAAACCCCGTCTCTACTAAAAATACAAAAACTAGCCAGGTGTAGTGGTGGGCACCTGTAATCCCAGCTACTTGGGAGGCTGAGGCAGGAAAATCGCTTGAACCTGGCAGGTGGAGGTTGCAGTGAGCCAAGATTGTGCCACTGCACTCCAGCCTGAGTGACAGAGCAAGACTCCATCTCAAAAATAAAAAATAAAAAAAAATAAAAAAAGAGACACTCCCTCCCTCAAAGAACTAAAGTCACTGACAGTTCCAGGAAATCGACTCACATGTCTGGCAGTCACAGTGGGTTCGACTTGTAATTGATGGAACAGGCTCACTTGTGAGATGTCATTCCAGGGAGCTGGTACCCAGGCCCCCTCCCGGGCTTCCCTCTGGTGGATGGAGCAGGAGGGATTTTACCCTGGGCTTTGTAACTCTGGACTCTCCTGCAGGATTGCTGCTGTTTAATGATAACATTACATTAGTTTTGTCAAAAAACTAAGAGCCTTGCTTCAGGGCAGGGAATTATCCGAGATGTGGCAGGGGGTAGACGTATAGAGGTGGGGGCCATTACATCGTCCCCCAGGGTCCCAGGTGGGCTGGGGATGGTGGCACAACATGCCTGTAATCCCAGCTACTCAGGAACCAAAGCAGAAGGACCTCTTGAGGCCAGGAGACCAAGGCCAGCCTGGGCATCAATATTTTTTTGATTAAAAAAATTTTTTTTAGAGACAAGAGGGGTAGGGTGAACCACAAATGACATCACCACCGACCCTGCCCAGCAGTCCCGCACAGCACTCACAGGCCACTGCCCGCTCTGACATCACCACTGACCCTGCCCAGCAGTCCCGCACAGCACTCACGGGCCACTGCCCGCTCTGTGCACCTACCCTGTGTTCCCCCTCGACCTGTGAACTCCATCTGCTCACCCGGGGCCTCCTGCTCCTCCTCACAGTGCATCTAAAAGGCCACTCCAGGGGGAGGACACATACACTGTCAGCACCACGAAACCTTCCTGTTTGTCCTGGGCAGGAAGACTTCAGACCGACTCTCTTTAAAAATTCTCCCTGTCTGAGGTATCCTAGAAAATGATGAACTCTGCTCCTGCAATTAAGCCGATCTTTACAATTCCAGGGAAATCTATAAAAACAGACATCCATTGTTCTATGTTCTTCTGGGATTCGTTTCTTTAAGGTCACTGGGTTAGGCTCATGACAATGCATGGCTCTGACTCAGGTCTGCCACAGCGAGGAGAGGCTTTGAAGCAAGAACCTCAGACCTCTGATGAAACTGCTGTCTCCAAAAGTAAAGAGAGGAAGCCGCCTCTGACGATCTCAGTCAATAACAACAGCCAGTCTGGAGACATCAGGTCAAAAAACCCAGGGGAGGAGATGAGGTCTGCAGTGGCAGCCAAGGCCTCCGGTTCTGGCCTGCGGATACAGCTCACCACGTCCCCTGTACCTTCCTTTCAATGGGGCATCAGCACCCCAGAGCCGGATCCCTGCAACTGCCCAGCTCCCACCCCATCTCCTAGACCTGTGCCTCCCAGAGGCCCCTTCACGGGTGCAGGCGGGAGAGATCCAGGCCCTAGCTGGCTGCCGACTAGAAGCGGTCCCCTGTGAAGGCACAGTGCTGATAGGTTTCACGGTCAGTTCCAAGTCCACAAATTCTTTTCAGCTATCATCTTTTTGTGCCTCCCACAAACATTGAAGGGGTACTGGTTAGGTCACAGGCCCTGCCCCAGACCAGGAGGGGCTCCTGTCCTGGCAACATCCCCAGTCCAACAGGGAAGGAGCTGAAGGAGCCTGGGGCAGAAGGGCTGGTATGGGGAGCATTGAGTTTGCCTGGGATGGGGGTGGGGTGCGGGGTTGGTGGCCTGGGAGTCTAGAGGGCGTTCATGACCCGGAAGCAGGAGCCCACAGACAGAAGGAAAAGATAAAGTACAGAAATCGTAACCTGGCTTGGTGTGACACAGGTCCTATGTCAATTAAACACCACGACAATCCTATGAGGCAACTACTGCAACCGTGTTCTGTAGCGGGTCTAGCTGGGAGTGGTGGCGCACACCTGTAGTTCCAGCTACTCAGGAAGTTGAAGCAGGAGGATCACTTGAGCCCAGGAGTTTGAGACCAGCCTGAGAACATAGTGAAACCCCATCTCAAAACCAAAACCAAAGAACCAGAGGACCTTAGAGGCCCAAAGCCACAGAGCTCATGAGTGGTGGGGCCAGGCTTTGGACCCCAGGTGGTCTGGCTGTGTTGAGGAAGAAGAGCCAGCACCCGGGCTGGGAAGCTGCCATCAGATATGGCAGGGGGTGCTCATGGTGGCACTGGGCACAGTAGTTATCAGACACTAACGAGAGGTTTGGCAGAACCCTGGTGGGCGTCACAAATTTTCACCACCAGATGGCCAACAAGGGGCCACTTGGCTCCAAGATCACATGGAGACCACAGGGGTCAGAGAGGGTGGGTGTAGAGGGGGCTGGGAAGAGCTGCAGGGCATCCGGCCTGCCCTGGGGGTGCCTGCTTCTCACCCCAGGCTGAGAGGGGCT